GCGGCGGCGACAAGATGGGAACGTGCGGCGCGGGCGCGGGAGAGGAGAGCGGGGTGAGGACGGGGTGAGGACGGGGTGAGGACGCGCACATGTCTTCATGTGCCCTCGCGGAGGCGGAGGCCGAGGGCAGCCCTTCCCCGCGCCCGGGGAAAGCGCGATTTGTAAGCGACGCGCGCGAGACGGCTCCCTAACTCGGGACCAGCTGAGCCTGCCATATTTAACTCGATCATCGTCGCCAGCTCGTGCGCCCCGGCGCTGCAACCCCCGCGCGATACCTCGACACGCCCTCGCGGCTCGGGGTTTCCGCTCCGACGCGCGGTCTCGCGCGGCCTGCTGCGCGGCAGTCTGTTCCGGCTCGCTTCACGCCGCCCCACTCATCACGTTCACCGGCGCTGTTGCTTTATATCTTTCTTCCTGTCTCCATTGGATATTGTATATTTTATGTCTTGATCAGCTACCTTCGCCCCTCTTATATCTATTGTCGGCCTTGAATTAAAACTCACCTCTTTTTTATTTTATCATTTCCCATCGACTGTCCTTTGCAACAACAAAAATCACGTATAATTTACACGTATAATAGTATGTTAATCACGTCTGTTCCTTTTGCCATTTTACGCCACTGTTTCTTTCTCTTACCATTGCCTTATACCTACCCATGTGTCTCTCTCGTGCGTAATAGCCATAACCTTGCCCTACGCCCCGCTCCTTCGCATCCCGCAACTTCGCTCCCTTCCCCGCCGCCACCTTTCCCCGCACCCGCTCCCCGCGTCTCACTTCCAACACACCTCGATGTCACTCCCAACACCCCTGCGTCACACTACCCGCACCAAAGCATCCCTTTGCCAGGATCACTGCATCCGCTCCCCGCACCCTGCGTCGCGCTCCCCGCACTAAAGAATCCCGCTCCTCGAAGCCCCGCCCCACTGAACCCCGCTCTCCGCGCGCCCCGCCGTCAAGCGCCCACGCGATGAAGCGGAAACCCTCCGTCGCCGCCCTCCCTGCGAGGGGCGCCGAGACGCATAAAATGTGATAACATTATGAAGAGCAGCCGTGAACGCTTAGAAATATCACTGTTGCACTTGTGGCGGAATGTTTTAACTTTTATACGGCGGCGGAGTCGAGCGAAAGAACATGTAAGAGAGCGGAGAGCGGCTGCGGGCGAGACGACGA